GTTTACAATGCAAAGTTAACGTAAAACTAGAGCTCATTAGGCTTTTTCTTCCCGAAGGAAATCTGCTACATCTGTTCACCTTGAATTCACTTTCACGGTTCCAAAAAGTGACAGTAAAAAACACTTCCGTTGATGATATCTGATGGTGTCTTTTAAGATCTAGTGATTTTTCAATGTAGCTATACGATGTTAAAAAAGTAAAGTAAAATTATAAACGATGCAGAAATCTTTGAAATTTGAACCTCTTCTTGTTCTTGCTCGATTCAATTACTTAAAATCCATCATTAAAGTATTTTTGTTAGTTTTTGAAACTATTTTAAAAACTTTTACTCAAAATGAAAAGGTCTATTATACCAATTTTTTTAAATGTAAGCTGAACCCAACAAAATTACAATCACAGGAAAAGTTTAAGAATAAAACTTATAGACAAATCTGAGGTGGCAGAACACCCTTATAAAGACAGCAGATACTTCACTGAAAGGTAGAACAGAATCTCTGTAAAACGAGTGAATCGAACACAAATACTGCTTCTACATACCAAAACTTCAAGGCAGTTCTCGGTGCGCATTTCATCTTCGGAAGATGCACCCTTCGTTGGTAAAAACGCGTCGTGAAGAGTGTTACAGGTTCGGTGGGCCGAGGCCGTGTTTCTCTCGGAACATATACAATATTATGTTTGAAATGACAAATACGATTCATAAAAGATTTTTATCAAATGCCGTGTAGTTTTAAAAATGGTTACCGTGAAATTCAATACGTGTCAATATCTTGCAATTCTCACTAAACGTCCAATAACAGCTTACTTTTTGTTTTCTTTTTTTTTGCAATAACTCAAATGATACGATTTTATTCAAAAATTTCCTTTCTAGTACCTTATAGCTCCTTTGCATTATCCTACCAATGAAACTTTTTTTTGGATTTTTTTTTCTGTACATTGATTTCGGACCATAACTATTACTGATACTATACAAATTGACAATAACTGATATTACGGAACTCAATAGAGATGTGATTTTATGTAATCTCTTTTACACTTGCTGCACAGACGAAATATTAGTTTTATTTTAAAAAATACTTCATGAATACCATAAATAGTTGGATTGTTTGAAAAACATACATTTGTAAATTGGTGTTCACTTGAAAACTGTGTCATTTGATTATGTACCTTCAATATTTACACATAGGATATAAACTATTACTGGATTAGAATCATTACTGCATACAGAGTGGCCACTTGTTAAGTGGGATTGTATTGGCAATATTCAAACCATGAGAGTTAGAAGGTCTGTCAAATGGAGAAAAAGTTGCATTCATAGAAGCACTGTCAAGTGGTTGAAACAAATCGAAAATATCAGGGCCGGTTATTGAAATATCATAGGAAAAGTAAATTCTTTCATTTTGATTTTTCTTTTTTTTTCACGTTATTTCAAAGATAATGAAAAAATGTTACAGATAGTTTTTATTTGATAGTAAATTCTCCTCAATTTGACGTAATCAGATTTCAAATCCAACGTTCCGTACTTTGTGTGCCAACCTCAACCACATTTTTTTCAATACGGACCTGCATATTTTATGACATTTTTCAAAATAACGCTAATAACGCTAAATTCAACGTTATATCGTACAATGTCATTTAAAGTTGATTTCCAAAAGATTTTCATCTTTATCCGAATTTATTTTATTCGAATCTATATTAAATTTGCCTTTAGTTTAATTGCCAACATGCATTACATTCCGATACCTCACTCATCTCAAACTGAATGGAACGTATCAGAATCAAAGCAAGAAACAAATAATAATTATTTACGTATTTCAAGAGAAGAAAAACCTAATTCATAATAATTAAACGAAACTCATTTATTTGAAAAAAAATTTGAATGATTATTCAAAAGTAAAAAAAAACTTATTATTACAGTTTATTGCATGATTTTCACTATAAAGGGTTTTACAAAAACCGCGACACGTGTTTCGCTATACAATATATTCCTCAAGCATAAACTGATTGAGGAAGTTTATGCTTGAGGAAGCTATTATATAGCGAAACACGTGTCGTAGTTTTCGTAAAACCCTTTATAGTCAAAATCATACAATAAACTGTATTAATTAGTTTTTCAATATGGATTTTCATCAAGTATCTGCCAGTTATATTCAATTATTCGAAATTAAATGAAAATTAATGAAGTAAGTGTTCGAAATGCTCACAATTTTGTAAAATGCACTTTGCGGTTCTGGAACTCAAACTTCTTATACATTTGCTCATTTCGTCTCCTTGAATGCGTTGTCAATATTCTCGCTAGGGACCACTATTGTCGGATTTATCATTTGTTTAAGTTGTGCAAAAACTATATCGTAACGATTCTGAAAGAAGGTTGCAATTATGTTATTGGTTTCAATGGAAGGTGCGCAATAAAAACTATTTAAAAAATATTTTGAAAATTTCATTTACAATATGGAAAGAGAGACCACACATTGTCTTGTTGAAAATACAATGAACTTATTATACAGGGTTATTCAAATTCGTTTCTGTACATGGGGATCTCGTAAACGATGAGAGATAGAGTGTCGGTTAAATTGTGGCAAAGTTGTGTATTTTAGAGAGTATTCAATAATGTAAAGAAATCGAATATAGTTTTTTTGGTTCTGAAGATATACAGGAATAACCAAAAAATCCCAAAATATTTTGAAAATTTCATTTACAATATGGAAAGAGAGACTGTACATTGTCTTGTTGAAAATACAATGAACTTATTATACAGGGCTATTCAAATTCGTTTCTGTACATGGGGATCTCGTAAACGATGAGAGATAGAGTGTCGGTTAAAGTGTGGCAAAGTTGTGTATTTTAGAGAGTTATTCAATGATGTAAAGAAATCGAATATTACTCTTTTGGTTCTGGAGATATACAGGAAAAACCAAATAATCCCAAATTATTTTTTTGCCTATATCTTCTTTATTCACAGACATATTGAAAATCTGTCCACAAAAAAAAAATGTTGTTTTCATTGTTAGTCTCGGGACTTATTGATCCATGTGTTACAGGGTGTTACATTTTAATTTAGGAAGTTGGTAGATACCAACTTCCGGTATAATCGGATGTGTTGGAAAAACTCCATTATTTTCATTAAATAAAGCATATTACAAAATACGGCTAACTGACAGTCATAGTGCTGTACCCTGTAGATACACTTGTCAATTGCAAGAGGAGTAACTTATGTTGGCTATAGAATTATTTTAAATTTTTGAGAAAGAAATGAAGACCCTTCAAAAATGGAGGTACAAATTTTAGAACAACTTATTTTTTCTGTAAAGATAATTCAACTACTTATTCGTATAAAAAAAAAAGTTGATCTGTTAACATTTCAGCATATTTGTGTTTTAAAAAAATCCAATGAATAGATGCTTTTTTAACTTAGATGAATTTTCTCATTCTCCTCTCAAATAATAATTTCGTAAAGCTTATGGAAAAGCAACCATGTTCAATATGGCCTATATAAGTAATTGTATTATATAATGTAATGAAGACACCCATTATTGATATAAATTTAACCAAAAGTATCATGGTGTACTCTAAAATAAATATAATAATTAATTTGTTGTATATACCAAGTAAAAGTGGTGTTTACATTGATTATTAAATCCATTTGCAGTTAGCAAGTGTTGCGATAGTTACTGAAATTATGGACAAATCGGTTCTATCAATTACACTAACCAAATGGCCATAAATCTATTTTCAGAAGCTATCTTGTGTAAAAGTTGTACAAAAATTCTCAAAGCTTAGAGAAATCATTATCGAAATGCAAAGCATAAATCATTTTCATACAAGCTTTCTCTGGATTTCACATCTGCTTTCACAGTAGTTTAGGACAAATTTTGACAAATGCATATAGGAACATTCCTTGATAAGCTTTGCACCAAGTCTAACCGATCTCAAACCATAAGTAAGTGTAAAATTTTCAAGAATGTTTAAAATTCTTAGTTAATGAGTGCTAGTGCAAGTCGTAATGCAAATTATTTATCAATTAATTACGACTAAACACGCCTGAAGATGCCATTGTATAGTGAAACACGTCGTTGTTTTGTAAACTGTGAAGATCTCACAAAAAAGTGTTATTTGAATACATGGAGAAATGCAAAAAATACATAATTTGTTGAAGTATTTAAGAATGTTTATGAATATCCCCACAATATGCTTAGAAATAGTGTAACATGCATTTTGGATTTATACAGTGCCCTCGTGAAAGTCAAATATTAAAATACTTTGATCTCGAATTATTTTCTAAAGAGCAGCACCTCAAACGACGTTCAATCACCGTGTTTCATCCCTACATCTGTTGCAATATATGAATGTTGGAAAAAAAACACATCCGCAAGTACAAAAATGGTTAGATATTAAAATATTCCTATTGAAAAATAGAAGTGGAGATATGTCTGTACTGGAACCAATACTGAAGAAAGACTTCAGCTCCAAATGACTTTTCGAAAATGTTATTTTGTAACAGAGCATGTGAAAAGGCCCACTGAAGTTGTTTCAAATCTATCTGCTATTATAAAAATAAGTGAAGTGGAGAATATTGGTAACAATTACTAAATTCAATAAGAAAATTAGGAAAAATGTTTTGAATATTTTTTTTTCAAATATTGTTTTTTACGATCAATCCCAAATTTTAATAATAGTAATATATACATAACATGATTTCTGCAAATTAGTTTGGTATAAGATTATATCCAGATAAGTCATACCATTTCAGTTCTGACTCTTTTAAACATTTCGTTCACAATTCAGTGAAAGGCTCAGATCAATGTGCAGTTCAGTTCAATACTTTATTGATTAAAGTATTTTTATACTTATAAATCTTGGATCTTTTCAGGCAGTAAAAGCCTGAACCTTTAACTCAGTTTTTATCATATTCAATAAATATTCTTCATGCTACAAGTATTATTGAACCATTTTCTGAAGTTTTTCATGAATGTGCTTCACTATTTATTTTCAATAAATGAAGGACTTTATTTTCAGGTAATCCCAACAACCAACTAACCCCTTCAAGTTCAGCAAGTTCCCTTACGGCAGACTCTTTGAGTTCATCTAATCGAAGCAGCTTGGCCAATATGCCAGACTATGATGTTCCTAAACCATACGCCAGAGGCCCTCAGATAGTTCTACAACCGCCTCAACACTATGATGTCCCTTCGCAACTGACTAAAGAGCTCCCACTCGAACTGAACTCGGCTCTTGAAAACTTGGAGAGACTACAGACTGACACAACCAGCGCAATATCTAAACTATTAGGTTTTGTGGGACATCAGTGGAGAACCAAGGAGCGCTTGGAGCCTAGTTTGATGGAAATCAAGCTGTCAGTGACGAGGCTGCGTGTCTCGCTACACGACTTAGCAGAGTTTGGAGAAGGGACCCTGGGAAACGCCGCCCGGGCTTCGGATAAGAACTTGGCCGGAAAGCTAGCACCACTAGTTTCTGCCTTGAAGCGTTCTGATATTTTGGTACAGGAAGCTTCAGAAAAATTAGCCAAGCACAATTGGTCACTTGAGCTGCTTTCAAGACCTGCAGAGGAAGAAAAAATTAGAAAGCCTGATGAGCTGGAACAACTGGTCGCCTGTTCCAGAGCCCTAACGGAGGACATCCGGCAAATAGCATCTTTCATTCAAGGTAATGGTCTTTTGCTGTTCAAAAAGGAGCAGCAAGGCAACAGCGAGTGGGTTGAGGAATATGACTACGTAAGTTTAGACTCAAAAGAGAACATGGCTAAGAACCACGCGGAAATTCTCAAGGACCTACCACAGAGCCTTCGCAAAGGCTATGACAACTGTGTTAAGATTGCTGATTCAATTGCTTTTGATAATGATCATAAATCTCCTGGTTTAGACTCTGATGATAAGCAGTTGTTGACATTTTATGCTGCACAGGTTGTTACACATCATACCAACCTCACAAATGCTATAGATGCATTTATCAAGACTGTAGAGCACAACCAACCTCCTAAGATATTTCTGGCTCACGGAAAGTTTGTAGTACTGAGCGCACACAAGTTGGTACTCATTGGAGATACGGTTCACAAGAATATTTCTTGTAGGGAGATCAAGGAGGGGGCTATAAATTGTGCCAACGCATTATCTGATGCTTTGGCGAGCAGCGTAAACAAAACTAAGCAGGCAGCTATGCAGTTTCCTTCTGTCACAGCAGTCCAGGAGATGGTGGACTCTATTGTGGATATTTCGCATGCGGCGAAAGCTCTGAAGGTGTGTCTGGTACAGGCTGCAGTACCCCTATAACTTTTCAGGTTTTTATAATTTTGTTGACAGTTTCCCAAAAAAATTAGTAGGTGAAATAAATGATCTAATGGCTTTGTTTAAAACCATTATGAATTACTTGAGCTATTGGTTAATTCCATTCCTGTTGTACGAGTAGACATTGGAAAATTGTTTCTTTCCAAAATGATCATTATATTCGAATCAGTGAAAGTTTTTACATATTTTTCAAAATTTGGAGTGAGATCAACGAATGAAAAACTTTTATTCTGTAAATTCTGTATGTGATATTCTCCGTTATTGAATTTTGCCCTAGCATCTTTTTTTCGGGCCATCTGATTAAATTTGAATGTATTAGGTATATTTAGTTTCAATAGGCAATAATATTTCCAGTTATTCGTTACTGAATTTGGATTTAAAACATACGAAACACATTTTGATGACTTCATTAATATTTCTGATTAACAATTGTGGTGCACAATCTCTTAATAACTTCGGGTATAGTATAGAATGAAATTTTGTTATTAAAAAAAAATGGAAAATATACCTGTTCCTTAATTTTTATTTCCGAGACTCATGTAAATGATTTGAAGTGTAACTGATGAATTTATCCAGAAAAAAAGTATTTGAATAGTTTTTTTTTAGTTTTTTTATTTAGTTCTTAATCGACATTTAATTTCAAAGAGAAATTTGATTCTGGTGTTGGTTGAGTATATCGCCAAATATGCCACGGAAATGAATACACATTTTCCAGATCATCTCCCTGAGTGACAGAAGCACTCATTTTATTAGAGTACCAGAGCAATCAGTTCTATTCCCCAACATGATACAGATTTGGAAGAAAAGGTATGAGATAGTGGTTAACAACCTCACAATATTCTAATGTAATGAAATCGACACAACTAATTCACCCAAAAACTTCGATTCGGCAAGTTTTTTGATGCGTGTGTTTGGATGAAATGAATTTTATTATTGAAATATTCTAAAGCACAAAGTAACTAACGAAACGCACAACTTAATGCTAAAATCCATTTCGATATAAGGTGGTCAACATTTATCTGACACATTTTAAAGAGGTTTGATGAAATGTTGTCTGGTTCAAAAATATTTGAACTGATTATTTGGAATATACATGCATAATCACATTTTAACTTTTTTCATTTGTGAAAATTTTAAATGTTTCGGAATTTTTGTAGTTTACCCTTTTTGATGCCAGGTAGTATGTATGTATATTTTTATTTTTAAATACTAATACTTATAAGCTAAGGCGTATGTTGTTTTGCTTGAATGAATTTTGTGATCCATTCTCACTCAGGAACATTCTAAATCATATTTTTGAGTGGATGATTATAGGTACATCATGTTGACCTGTACAAAGTAAGTCAATGGCTTCATTTTGAGGCTCAAATATTTAACAATAGTGAAGTAAACATAATAGCAGTACAATTTTTCAAATTCAGTAGTCATGATTAAAAAAATCGACTATTGGTTATTTTTATATATCAGGAATTATAAACTGCAAAGCAGTGACAAAATTTATAGAAATTTATTAGATTTCATTATTTTAGATATCACTATCAAATTGAAAAATCTTAAACAACTGAAAAAAGGCATTTTTTGTATTCTGAAAGTGACGGTATAGGCTAGTTAACAAGTTGAAAAGCGTGATAATTTTTATTACTGGAATATAAATCGTCAATTTTCCAAATCACCTAAAAACTATTGATGACAGTAAAATTTGGAAAAGGCTCTCATAAAATTTATGAAAAAAAACGTCAACTCCAAAGCTACATTTCATAATTTGAACTTGACTTCAAAACCAGCCATTCCCATAAACATTTCATTTCATACTACTGAATGTCAACTTGTATTTTGAAAAATACGAACTGAAAAGTGTTCATGAAATGAACCTATTGGTGATCAACTAATTGTTCTCATTTTCTTTCAGTCAGATAATTGTTAAAAACAAGTTTCCAAAATAAAAAAGGTAGAACATTGTACTCGTTTGAATTTTTGATTCCATTTGCTGAAGAATTGTTTGTGTTTTACATAAACATTTTTATTATTTATTTTCTAATTAGTTTACAGTCTTGTTCATATTGGGGAAAAGTAACAAAAACAATCGGTCAAAAATCAAAGCGGTTATACATACTTCGAAACTACTAGAGATGCGGTAAATTGTATAGAATAATATTCCAAGGAACCAAAAAATGAATTTGTAACGAAAAATGTATATTTCTATGGTTATTTATGTTTTTTTAATCCGTAGAAAATATAAAAAGACAATCGACCCAAAAATAAATTTGTAACTATTGTTTTTCATCAGTATATGAAAATAATATTGAAAGAAAAACGTATATTTCCCTTGGCTATTTTTGTTTTTCTTTTTTCTGAAAGATATTCGACAAATATTTGTAATATATTGTTTATTCAATAAATAAATTGAGTAAGGCTTTCACAGTCGAGTTACATCATATTTGTTGCTTTGCAAAATTTTTGATTATTTTGACTGAATTTCTCAATATTTCGCTGACATGACTGGTTGGCATCTTGAAGAGTATATAAAATGGTTTCAATTCTCTCAAATCTTATATCTATATCTCTAATTTGAAAAAAGTGTAATTATTCAAAAATATTTGTTCAAATAAATGTTATATAGGTTTTAGCTCTTGAAACGGTGACAACAATCAATCTGTCTCTATCTAATATTCTTGTTATTTGAATAGTTCATAATTAATTACTCATGAAAATTAAAAATAATACAGGTAGCCTCATTGTGAGAAAAGTGAAATATTTTTGATATCATTTACACCAAGTTTTCATATCAATTATCCGACTTTGAGTACAAACGAGAATTCTAAAATATTTCATTAATCAACAGTAGGTTCATTGCATGTATTTTTTTTTTCAAAAAGTTCGAATTCATATTCAATGGTGAAAATGAAATGTTTGATTGGAAGAAAGTATCCCATTTCAGTGTCATTGAATTTTAAAAATATATATGAATCCTGAGAAATAAACACTTTGCTCTGTACTTTTTTTTTTATTTCAATATCAATAGTTTTTCAGTGAAGTAATTATTGGCATCGAAAAACATCTATGAATAATTATTCAAGAATTGACCAAAGGCAGTATTTCATAAAACGTGGGAAATTTCCAAGAGAAAGAAAAAAACAATTACATACAATTAAACTCTTCATGAAATTTACTTTCAAATATGAAGTGGAAGAAAAAACCCTTTTACAAAAACTACTTTTACATTACCATAATTACAGGATAGGAAAATTACTTTTAAAACAACTACTTTCATATGAATATTGAATTATAACGAATATACTTTTTCGTATTCAGTTTGTACTCCAAACATAACGGTAAAGAGTTTATTTTTGAACTTGATTGTAGAAAGCCAAAAAGCTTTTTTTCAAAAACTAATCTCTCCTTAAAAGTATACCTACCTTTTTCAATTTCAGTCATTTTGAATCCTTTCTGAAAAAAATTAATGACAAGAAAGAAGTAACCGTGTCTTGTCAAAAATGTTGGATGTTTTGTACGGTTTTACTGTAAAATCGTGCAAGTATAGGCTAAGTATCCTCGTTTTTTTTCCAAATTTTGTAAGATTTGTTCCCGAAAACTATCAGTCGAAAAAAGTTATTTTTTGAGTTTAAGGTGAAAATTGTATCCAAGGTTCAATTTTGGTCTGGCTGTTATGTTTTTTCTTTCTATTTTTCGAGTTTGAGTAATATTAAGAATCAAAAGAAAAATAATGACGGAAGAACTGAATGTAATTCAACTATTTCATGATAGAAATTTCAAATATTTGAATTTGTAAAAACCGATACTGTTGAACATTATCGCTGGCGTCTATTCAATGCTTTCCATTTAGTTTTCTTGTGTTGCCCAAAAATCTTGAATCAGATATTGAATATCAAAAACAGACAGGTCTTCTCATTCCGTAAATGTCATGTTATTTTTCAATAATAATATATTTGTGTGGTTCATCAGAGCTGACAATTAATGTATTCATAAAATTTAATGTATACATTATAATATCCTACAATAAAATAATAATAAAACCATTTGTGGATGTTCAGTATTCATTCACACGATTTGTATAACTATTCAAAAAGAAAAAATCAAAAATTTTCTGTTGTGCTCCAGCTTACTGAAACTATTTTGAAACAATTTATTGCCAGTAAAATATATGCAACAAATATTTCATAGGAATCACTCTCAGGTTTGAAAAGATTGTTTGTATCCACAATTGTTAGAATCCCAGTCACTCGAAACGTCGTGAAGTAACTTGGTTCAAAATCTTTTTAATTTTTTGTTCATTATTGTTTTTATTCTTTTTATTTTCACTCTGTGGTCATTTTCATCTTGTTTATTTTATTTTATTCATTTCATTGTATTTTCATTTCACCTCTTATTGCTTATATTCCAAAATATTACCAACAAACTAATAACAAAAACTAAAAAAGACGACTTTCAGAAACAGATATCAGAGAATATTCATTCAAAAAATTTGTGGAAGATAATAAGGCAAATAAATAAAACTCCAAAAAGTAAACAACAAATTGAAGAAATGATCACTGTTAAATGGCATTCGAACAAATGATTGAAATGTAATATGTACTGAAATGAATCAATATTTTGCAAATGTAGGTCAGTCTTTCAGAAGACATGTGTACTCCCTCAACCCCTTTTTCTAAACTTAATACAGTTTTGAACTTGTTTGTTCTGGAAGGAGTTAGTGAGAAAGAATTAATAGATATTGTAATGTCCTTGAAACCCAAAAAACCCTGGTGTTGACCCAATTACAGCTGAAACTCTCGAAAAAATTGCCACAGAAATATGAAAGCCATTGGCTTATTTAATAAATACCATATATCGGAAAGGTTATAACGCCACTTTTTAAAAAGGGAGACAAGACGAAAATGGTGAATTACAGACCAATATCATTAATAACTAATCTTAGTAAAATTGTGGAAAAAAGTTTAAAACAACGGCTAACAAAATATTTTGATAAACTGATATCAAATAAACAATTTGGTTTTAGGCAGAATAAAAGTTCTACTGATGCTATAGAGCAGCTCACTGGAAATCTTTACTAAGCAGTAGATGGAGG